GCAAGGATACCCTGATGAGGACAACACCGAAGAGCGCCTCGACAACTTGTTCAACTCTCTGGAAACCGTTAAAGAGTTTGAGAAGAATCGCCTAGCCGAGTTGCGCCAAGAGAATCCAAACTTTGATTTGAACTATCGTGATAGGAACAAGATTCCAAATGAACGCTGTCCACTGCACGTTCAAGAGATGAAGGCTACTCTGTTGAGTGAGGCAAATAAAGGCGATGTGCTGATTGCCCGAGTCCTTGGAATGACAACGGTGAAGAATAAGCGGCACTTTTTCATTGAATTTAACAACAAAAAAGTGGCCATGATAACAGACGAAGAAGTCGATGTAAGTTATCTTACCAATATCTAATTTTGTATTCACCTACTTTTCTAAAAAACTACTAGAAACTGCCACAGCAAGAACAGGCCAAGTTGTGGAATTTTATGGCCGAAACAAAGGCCAAAGTCGTCGAGAAGATGCGCAAGGAAGTTCGCAAAAGTCTTCCTTCTAACAGCTAACAGCCATGCACAGTGTGATAGAATCTCTTAAATAAATCAGCGGATTCTAGGAATATCACTTTCAGTTCCTTAATTCTCTCGCCGCTGTGAGGAGAGCACCGCACCTCGTGGGTCCTTTACAGAGCACTGCAGTGGTGAGTGCATCCCCCCACTGTTTACACTGATCGCATCACGTGTCTGTGGTAAACACACGCCGGTTTCTCCACCCGGATACCTCCATCGGACACTCCCGAGTACCTCCAACGCTGACATGGTGGTCGCCATTGGCTTCGAGGGCAGTGCCAACAAGCTGGGCATCGGTATTATGCGCGATGGGGAAGTGCTGGCCAATCCTCGCGTCACCTACATCACGCCGCCCGGAGAAGGTGCATTTTATTAGTGCAATCAATTCCACCTCCAATTACTAACCAACAAACTTTCATTTCAGGGTTTCAGCCTAGGTTTACCGCAGCACATCACCGGTCTCGAATCGTCGAGTTGACCAAAGAAGCGCTGAAGATTGCTGGCCTGAAGCCCGAGGAAATCGACGTCATCTGCTTCACCAAAGGTCCCGGAATGGGGGCACCTCTAGTCTCTGTGGCACTGGTTTCTCGTACCTTGGCGCTTCTGTGGAACAAGCCAATTGTTGGCGTGAATCACTGCATTGGTCATATTGAAATGGGTCGACTTGTGACTGGGGCGGAGAACCCAACGCTTCTGTACGTCAGCGGCGGTAATACACAGATAATCGCCTACAGTGAAAAGAAGTACCGAATTTTCGGTGAAACCATTGACATTGCTATCGGAAACTGCCTGGATCGCTTTGCACGCGTACTCAAGCTTTCAAACGACCCCAGTCCGGGCTACAACATTGAACAACTTGCGAAAAAGTGTGTCTCTCAATTGTGTTGTTTATTTTAATCATTATAGTTTTTTACACCTGACAGAGGAAAGAAACTAGCACCCTTGCCGTATGTGGTCAAAGGAATGGACGTATCCTTCTCTGGTCTGCTTTCATTCATTGAGGTATAATTACACTGGTGCACACTGAAAGAATTTAGCCTTTACTTACGACTCTTTAATTTACTCTACAGTCAAAGGCCTCAAAGTGGCTAGAAAGCGGAGAATACACACAGGAGGATTTATGCTTTTCTCTGCAAGAAACCATGTTTTCAATGCTAGTGGAAACAACCGAGCGAGCAATGGCCCACACCGGCTCAAACGAAGTGCTCATAGTTGGCGGTGTAGGCTGCAATTTGCGTCTTCAGGAGATGATGCAGCGAATGGCCGAAGAGCGAGGCGCCAAGCTCTACGCTACTGATGATCGCTACTGCATTGACAATGGAGCCATGATAGCCTATGCCGGTCTGCTCAGCTACCAATCAGGCCAGACAACACCGTTTGAAGAGACCTGGTGCACTCAACGTTTCAGGACCGATGAGGTCGATGTTACCTGGAGAAGCTAAACAGTGGTTGTTTTCATTTTTGTACAATAAATGTTTCAAAAGAATTTTTAAATTCCGCAAAATTTTAATTTGCGTGCCGTTTCCAAATGCGGCAGAGTGAGTCGTAATAGCCTGCTCAATTTGTGGAAAAAAAACTCTCATCAACACATTTGCAGGCACTATTTTTCAGAGAAAGAAAGACGTGCTGGGTAAACTTTCACAGTGTTACAGAGGGCAGCACTGTGTCTCGCACTGTAAAAGCTCACCTGCCCAACTCTCTTACTCGGAGACGAAGAGCCTGGCCAAGATATTGTTTTCATCATTTACCGGCAATATTATTATTTGCCCGGTAATAGATCTCGTCCAGAGATGATTGTCTTGAGAGTGAACTTACCTGTGCTTTGGACAATGTTAACCTGAGTTCGAGAACAGTTTTTGGTTCTTTAGTCCTTTATTACTTATACAAGTTATTTATTTTGGCCCAAAATATTTTGCACTGATTTTGCCGGCAAAAACGCTCCACCGTTTATTTATCAACAAATCAGGGCTTTGGCCCTCCATCTACAGAACTCATCATGGAGGAAATTGTTGCGCCCCTTGGCGCAATTATCTTCGATCTGGAACGCGACCTTGATGAACAAATTGGCGCATTGCCACTGCCATTTTCAGGCATGGACAAGTCGGGCGCCGCCGTTTGTGTGTTTCACCTACGGGGAACCTGTACCAAATCTTCAATGTGTCCCTACAGACACGTCAAGCCCGATAGAACAATTGTCTGCAAACACTGGCTCAGAGGACTCTGCAAAAAGGGTAAGAATTCAATCACAATTTTCAAAATTCGGTTACTGATCCTTTGCTTTATCAGGTGATTCTTGCGAGTTTCTTCACGAGTTTGACATGTCAAAGATGCCTGAGTGTTATTTTTACTCAAAGTTTCGAGCATGTTCAAACAAAGAGTGTCCTTTCCTTCACATTGATCCCGAGTCAAAAGTTAAAGACTGTCCATGGTACGACAGGGGCTTTTGTCGACACGGCCCTACTTGCCGTCATCGACACGCACGAAGAGTCGCCTGTTTGAGTTACCTTTGCGGTTTCTGCCCAGACGGTCCGTCTTGTAAGTTTGTGCATATGCGATTTGATATACCCAGCTTGACGGGACCCACCACTGGCGGTGTAATGGTCTCTGCAACCGGCAATGCCATCACCGGCCTAGGAACAGACCCCTCTCAGCAACAGCAACCTCAACAGCAGCAGTCTTCATTCAATCAGCCGGATACCAAACGAAGAGGCGTCATTTGTCACCACTGCAACGAGCCTGGCCATAAGATCTACGTGTGTCCTTCTATTCCACCTGACCAGCGAGATGATGTTATTGCCAAGTTTGCCGCGGAACAGGTATGTGCACTGCTAGTTGCCTGGCACTTTATGTCCTTGAGCTGCTCTAAAATAGTGTTTTAAACTTGCAGCAGGACCGTTCAAACCACTACGGGGACCGACATCACCATAACAACCACTACCAAGAGAATTCGCACCACAATTCATTCAATAGATACTCAAATCATAACAGCCACAGCAACAATAACCGATCAGACCACGAGAACAACTTGAGTGGTGGTGACTCCAACTTTGCCCTTAGCAACATTATATCCACTGTTCCTCTGCTGGAGCGCAAAGATGCTGGCCGTTCAGAGGGTGGCACTGTTGGTGGTGGTGGTGGCGGTGGCAAGTTCCATCGTCCCCTGGACCAGGTGACTTGTTTCAAGTGTGGCGAAAGAGGTCATTACGCCAATCGTTGTCCCAAGGGTCACCTTGCTTTTCTTAGTCCCGCCTTAAGTAATTTACCTTTCAACAACAACAGCAACAACAACAAACGGCACAAACCCAACTCAAATATGGAGCCGTAAGGTTATTGTTGTGTGTACCCACCACTGTCAACTGTCAATTCCTTCCGCACCATTATCATCATCTGTGACTACACATTTTTCATAACCTCATCACTTTATATATACACTAATTTTTGTAAATATTATCTGTGACTTATTATTTGTCTTGTATTCTTATTTGTCTTATATTTTTCTTATCTTCAATAACTTTTTTCTTACATTTTGTTTATCTTTCTTTCATTTCTTTGCTCAAATGTCTATTTTGTTATGTTGTCTGCTGTACTCTTCTTGTATACATGGAGTTTTGCCTTATGTAGTATATAAAAACTAAATCATGTGAAATATGAGTTTCTTTGCAAGAATGGTGATGCCAGAGAAGCTGGTAATGAGTGGTAATCAGTTTTTTACCCGTTCAGACATTCAACGAAGTAGAAACGGAGGAATGCTTACAGATCGATTTAATGTATTAAAAAACTTGGTTCGGTAAATCTCTTTCAAAACAAATAAATGAAACCTAAAAAATCTAGTGTGAGATTTCAGAATGGAAATGAAAAGTTACATTTGGCAACTTTCACTGTGCAGATCTTCTAAAAAATAAAAATAAAAAATAACAGATCACAAGACAAAATGAAAATAAAATAGTCAAAAGGACAATTTTTCCAAAGTTGTTAGTGATGCGTTAAACCACTGAAGAAATGACATCGATGCACCAAGTGCATTCACACATTAAGCCTGTGGATTTTTTCGCATCAGCTCAATATCAGAATCAATCATTTCCTTGACCAACTCAATAAAGGACGTTTGTGGCTGCCAGCCCAACTTTTCCTTAGCTTTTGTTGCATCGCCAAGCAAAAAGTCCTGAAAAAGTAAAAATTAGTTTCAGATGTGCGAGTAGTGCTGAAAAATGTCATACCACTTCGGCTGGTCGAAAGTACTTTGAATTGACTCGAACACGCACGACACCGCTTGCCTTCTCTTTGCCAACCTCTTCGACACCAGTTCCTTCCCATCTAGAGAAAATAAAGTTAACAATTATGAATAGACAAACATTAGAAGCCACAGTTTACTTACACAATTTCACGGTCAATATGTTTGAAGGCAAGTTCGACAAACTCTCGCACTGAATGCGCTTCTCCAGTGGCAATGACAAAGTCGTCCGGGTGTTCTTGCTGCATCATAATCCACATGGCTTCAACGTAGTCACGAGCATGGCCCCAGTCTCGTTTCGAGTCGAGGTTGCCCAGCTCGATGAATTCCTGCTCTCCAAGGTAGATCTTCGCCACACCTCGGGTGATTTTTCTGGTCACAAAAGTTTCGCCTCTACGAGGTGATTCATGGTTGAATAGGATTCCATTCACAGCAAACAGACTTGGGTATGACTCGCGGTAATTGACGACAATCCAGTAGGCGTACGCCTTTGCGACTCCGTACGGGGATCGAGGGTAGAATGGAGTGGTCTCTCGCTGGGGGATCTCCTGTACTTTCCCAAAAAGCTCAGAAGTGCTGGCTTGATAGAACTTGGTTTTCAGCTTTCCCGTCTCGCTGTCGGTCAGGTTGGCAGTGATAATTGCGTTAAGGAGATACAGCGGTCCTAGGCTGTTAACTTTAGTGGTGTACTCGCTGAGATCGAAAGACACTTTGACGTGACTTTGAGCGGCAAGATTGTAGACTTCATCTGGTTTTATGCTCAAAATCAGCTGCACCAAGCAAGTACTGTCAGTCATATCACCGTAGTGCAGCTTCATCGCTATGGTGAGGGGCAAAAAAAGCGATAAGATAAGGGTCACAACTATATAAGTGCCAGTTGGTTTATTACATCCTTCCTGATGAGTGAGCGGATCACGGTAGAGATGTTGAATGCGACCAGTATTGAAAGTACTGGAGCGTCGAATTATGCCATGCACTTCGTAACCCTTTGAAATGAGAAACTCGGCCAAATAAGAGCCATCCTAAAAGAAGAGAGTTAGAACAACTTTTTCTTATAAATAAAAATGGTACCAACACTTACTTGACCAGTAATGCCCGTGATTAGGGCCACTTTGCGGCTGTTGTTGGAATCGCCGGCTGAAGTCATCATGCAACTTTAACCAAATGAGTCCTACTACGCTTCAGTTTTTTAAATGCGCTTGATAATTTCACTTGTTTCCGAGTAACCAGTAAGCTAATTGACTAGAAAAATACACGTGTACTTTTGAGTTTAACCAGGGCAACCGGCGTAAACACCCTAAAAATGAAAATCTCCTTGCTGACAGACTTTGACAGAAGAATTTTATGTTTACATCTGGCGCGCTAGCCATAAAGGACGTATTTAGTACGATTCTGTTCAAAATTCTGTAGAATTTGCGTTTCAATGTTTAATGCTTGTAATGTGCTTAAATCTGCTCAAAGTCTTCCTTCAAAACATTCTGGTCGAGCACAATAAGTCGTTCATAGCGTTTGTCGATGCAAACTTCAACTTTGCGAGTTTTGCCATCTTTCCAACCTGGTTTATCAGACTGTTTCTCGCTCTTGCTTTCCATTTCTTCGGATAAAGATGATAAAGTTCCGCTTTCAGTAACTTTTGTGCCACTTTTTCCTGTTGAAGATGATTTATTACTTTTAGGTAAAGATGGCTTGCGAATGCGACGTTTGCGCCGATTGAGACGCCAGTGAGCTCTCTTCTTGGTCGAAGGCTTATGGCCTGGATTGTTTTGCACTGTTTCGGTTCGGATCATATGTGTACCTTCGCCGAGAATGATAATTTTTGGGCCGCTTGATGTACTACAATCCAGATTAAACTGAGAGCTGTTGTCTTCATTGAGGAAGTTTGTGGTAAACTTGCCCTCCACCAAGTAAAAGCCGTCCTGGAGAATGAGCGGTCTGCCATGATGGTACTCTTTATTCAACTTTTTGATTTGCTTTTCTTCTTGCTTTGTGTGCAACACCTGAATTCCTACGCAAGAAGCACTGTCTGAAACAAAAAACATCATTTGCTCATAACTTTCATCGACGGCCTTCAGCTTGCTGCGATACTCTGGCTCGAAAAAAGGACGTTCCTCAAAATACTCAGCAAGAATCTGATCGGAGAACAGCGATACCCAGATACCTGCTATTCTCTTGTCAATGTTCTCTTTGTGATGCGGCACAAAAACGCTAATCGGTCCAACACGTCCTTGAAAGCGCCTCTGAGGCTCTTTGCAGAAACAGTTCAGAACGTAGGACTCTTTAGCATCAAATGCTGACCCATCTGAGCGTTCATAAGGTCGACGAAACTTCCAGCAAATGCCCGCAAAGTAGATGCCATCATCGGGAAGTTCCACCATCATGATGCGAGCTGCGTGATGCCACTTGACTGCAGTGTTGAACATGTAAATGGGTTGTGGTAAGGAAGCTGTGTTGAAGGCAATGTTTCCAGGTAGACGACCGGTGGTGCCGTGTATTTGCACAAGCGAGTCGCCTGGTCCACCGTAGATCATGCTGAGCTCCGAGCCGTCCTTCATCAGGTAGTAGTATTTGACTGCCGAGGATGTTGATGGCTCAACAGGCTTCTTCTCTGCGCTGGCAAACTTGATTTTGCCTAGTTCAAGAATGGATTGGCCCCATGAACTTGGCTTGCTTTTGAACGATTTTGACGATGAACAGGAATAATACTGAGAGACTGGAGAAAGGCGCTCATCTTCAAGCGTTGAAAAGCAGGACAGGTAAACCGTGTTGATGGATTCATTTGAAGCTGATCGGTGGTCAGCACCCAGCGATTTCTTTGTAGTAACACTCATTAGATTAAGTTCACTTGGTAGAGGAGTGCTACTGTGAGTTAGTCGCTCAATATTTGATCGCAGCTTCATTGTTGTCTTTGTTTAGAACATTGACGAGTTACACGCCACCGTTAGATTAAAATGAGTTTTATTCGTTAGAAAAGAACTTTTATGTAGCGCAACAAACAAAACGAGTAACTTTTTATTGTAAGTCAGAGATTGTGCATTTCAGTATTTTATTTTCATTGCTGATCAACTATCTCTACTGCTATGTCATCGGGAAAGAAAGAGAAGAAGAAAGTGGCCAAAGTTAAGCGAGTGGGATCAGACCAACCGACGGCACTCATCGGTATTTGATTACCTCTTTCATGTACCCCTTTTTGACTATTACTATCATTTCAGCCCCAAGTGACTACGAGCACATCTTTGAAAATCAAGATGAAGGCGAGGGAGGCAAGAAGGTGGAGGCCAAGCAATCGAAACCAAAGCTCAAGAGGCAGCCAACACCGAAAGGCCCATCTGGCAGTGCTAAGCGAGTTGCATCTGACCAGCCGACGGCCCTTATTGGTAATACAACTAGTGATGAGGAGTATTTCTAAATCCATCAATCTTTACATTTCCTTTTACAGCTCCCAGTGACTATGAGCATATATTTGAAAACCAGGAAGAAGAGGCCAAAGTGGCCAATGTAAAGAAAACGTCGAGCAAGACTGTCGCTCGATTGCCCTCCGACACGCCGACTGCTCTCTTGGCTCCAAGCGACTTTGAGCACATCTACCGAGACCCGACAGTGGGCGGAGGGAATAAGACCGCCAAGGTGAAGAAGATCAATCGCAGCAACTCAGTGAAGCCCACTACGAGCAAGCCAAGTCGCAGTACGAGCAACCAGGGATCGGCGCAAGAGGTGCTGCCAGTCTCCATTCAAATTGTCGTCAAAAAGTTCATCGAAAAGCAAAAGAAAACTTACACCATAAACAAGTGATTTGCTTTTTGTGGCTTGCACTTCTGCCTTCAAACCATCCTTTTTGTGACATTTATTTTAAAACCATAAATAAACTTTTCAAGTTTTAGTTTTATTGTGACTCTTTGTTGCTCACCAAATGTTCATCTGCCTGCTTAAGCTTTTTTGTTTCTTAGCAAAAGGACATCTCTCATTCTTTTCATTGACGATGAACCATTAGTGACGATTATGAATAGTTGGAGAGAAAGTAAAACAATGCCCGCCCTCATTCATTGTCCTTTTTTATTGAAGCTAGGCTAGGTGCTCGCCTAATCGACAAATTTCATTAGCACAGGTGCACGTTTTACATATTTGAATTGATGACATGACAACACTCAAGGTTGCTCAGTTTGCTGAACATGCTTCATTCACATGCTAACAAACTAATTCAAGATTTTACCTTTAGTGAAGTGCCACTTTTACGTTGTATCATTGCAAGTGATTGAAAAAAACAACACCAAAAACTGCACTAAATTATACAAATGCAAACAGGGTTTCTTGTACAGTGACAAATGTCTCCATTCTTCCTAGACAATTTAGTGACCTTCACTAAAAAGAACGCGAGCATCAAGTGGCAAAAAATTGTGCACTGCGGTAGAAGCAATGTCACTGCATAAACCGTGAGAGAATTAGCTATCTAATGAACAGAAACGGACTCAATAAACGAACAGATCATTGGTGTCTACGTTTTGCATACTACTAATTGTCAGCACCATTAGGATGAGACAACTGGTCACAATGGGTTTGAGGAATTTGCCCTTTAAGGCAAGACTCCGTCGAATTTTTTAGTTTTACAGTTCTCTAATAGTTTCCATGTAAAACACTCATTTAACATTAAATTTATACAAATTTTGGCTATTGATCCTAAAATTATGATTTTGGTCTTAAAATAATCTTAAAGAGTTAATCTTGAGCTGTATTGAGGATTTTAGCAAAATATTAATCTGAAATTTTTTTATGATTTTTCAAAGTTGAAAAAAGTGTAATTTCCAACTTCAACTCAATACAAAACAAAAACGAAACAATATTTTCTAAAATCCTCAATACAGCTCAAGATTAACTCTTTAAGATTATTTCAAGACCAAAACCATAATTTTAGGATCAATAGCGGAAATTTGTATAAATTTAATGTAAAATGAATGTTTCATATGGAAACTATTAGAGACATGTAAAATTAAAAAGTTCGACGGAGTCTTGCCTTAAGACAACCTGTACGCAAATGTAACAGTGGTCTCAAGAGTTGAGAAACAAAGATAGCACAACTAAAGTTTAACTGCCACAAAGTTTCAGTCCACTCAGACAGTCTCGAGAAGGTAATTCACTCACTTGGACACGAGGACATACAAACATGCAAACAATGCACTGTGTGGGAAGTGAATGACAGAGAAAATTAAGGAAAGTGAATGTCAAAGAGGTAGGAACACTTAAAAGCAGCCTTTTTTATTACGAGTGGTAAAGTGCAAACTTGGCGGTACTTGGTGTCACTGGCAGTGAGTTCATTTTGGTGCAACGACCCAGTTGGTCACAGCACTCTGATGGCAACAAACAGACGTATCCTGGACAGCATCTGAAACGACCACAATTAGATTTAAAGCAAATAAAGGCGGTTGCACTCACTGTAAGCCCATTTTGCCACCGCACTGGTCAGTTCGACAGACTTGTTGATCAAACAGTGGATTAGCAGCGTTTAGATGAGCTAGAAATGTTGACAAAAATGTTATAATTATAATAGAAAAAGTTGATATTTTGTTACCGAAAACAACTACTAGAAGTAGAGCTAAACTTAGTTGAACTTTCATTTGTTTGCGATTGTGACAGCAGTTATTTAGAAACAAAAGCAGCAGAGTTTGCAAAGTGTACAGAAGACGTCTTCTTTAAATAGACTTTTTTAAAAAAAAGTGATAACATCATATTGCATGTCATTCTCTCTNTTATTTAGAAACAAAAGCAGCAGAGTTTGCAAAGTGTACAGAAGACGTCTTCTTTAAATAGACTTTTTAAAAAAAAAGTGATAACATCATATTGCATGTCATTCTCTCCTGCAAAAAGGAAAATATTATTATTTGCCACTTATAAAAAAAGATTATTCTCTTGCAGAGTTACCACAGAGCGCGATTAGTCACATTGATTACGTCAGATGATTGCGGTTTTGAGTTTAGCTACCTGTGAACTGATAAAACTTAAAATAGTAGATCATTAAATGCCACTAAAGCACACTTACTGGTACATCAACTAGGCAATCACAGTGAACACTTTGTGACAATAACAAAATTTTATTATTTATTTTTTACATCTCAAACAACTTGTACACGTTATCTTAAGCCTTCTTTTGGCAAGTGC